ACGACCACACCCGTCCTCTGTGACGTTTCCCAATTTCCCTTCCTTCAGCATACAATTCAATACCTGAACCAAACAAACATTTATGGTTTCCCAATGCACTCTGAAAAATCATTGGAAAGCCCATCAATTCCCGGTGCTTTCCCCTTACTTAAATTGAACACTGCCTCTTTCACTTCTTCCATACTTATTATTCCCTCCCAATCCCCCTCTGTCCTCCCCACCTTCCCCAAGACCTTCACCCCTCCTCTTTCTTTATTAACTATCCCCACATTACCTTTTTTCCCATTTCCTTTTAAACCAATAGTCCGCATAATTACTTATCCCCTCAGTTGTCACCAACATTTGCCCCTTAGTATAACCTTCCAAATCGTCACTAACCTCTTAAAGTATTATAGTGGACTCCTGTTGTCTAATGCGAAAACTTCTTAACACACTACCCGACGTTTTATCTCCCCATAGCACGGCATCCATACCTGCCCTTACCCTTAATTCATCAAATCTTTCATTATGTATGTCCCTTAGTCTCCCCTTTAGCCCTGATATTTCTTCAAAAGACTTCCCTCATCTCTTGCGTAACACTCATTGAGCTGCTGTTCCAAATAATTCTGTAAACCGTAACCTCCACCTCGCCTCCTCCCTTCCTTTATATTTAAAAAAACCCCCGCGATACCAGGTTTAGCCCTATTTTCTCCCACCAATCCAAAAATACTCCCTACCCCATCCCTTGCCCTCCACAATTGTCTCCAACCAGTCTCTAAACTCTGCGTTCACCCACCTCACCCTCACCAACCTCGCATTTAACTTCCAGAAACTTGAGTATACCTTTACCACTCCCTCCCAATCCAGTTCTAACCAAAACTGCCCTATGATCCGAAAACCCTACGTTCCACTTTTTTTACCCCTCCTACCCTAACTGCCTCCGTTATATAAATCCTATCTAACCTCGCTGAATAATTTCTCCTAACAAAAGTGTAATCCACTCTCCAAGCCCCACTCCCCTCCACGTCCCTCCACCCCATGCATCCTGTAAAACATTGCGTAACGACCGTAACACACAACCCGCCCCCCTTGGCTCCACGTCCCCCCCCCTTATAACACAGTTCCAGTCCCCCCCAATTACAGTGACTAGAGGTAAACCCCTTAAAAAATACACTAAAACATCTCTCACAAAATCCTCTTTTACTTTGATTATATTCTCCGCTGGCATATAAACCCCAATGAAACATACTCGAGATGCTCCCCCACTCACCATCCACCCTCACTACCCTCCCCCCCCCCCTTCTCCCACTTATAATACGTAAGGGACTATTTTCCTTCACAGCCACTGCCACTCCCCCTTTTAACCTAACAGACCCACTTACATACAATTTATAACCTTTTAATGCCAAAGCACAGCCTATCTTATAATTATGTTCTTGTATAAAGCATACATCCACACTATATCTCCTCAAAAACCATTCCATCCATACTCGTTTCACTTCATTCTTCAATCCATTTACATTTACAGTTACTATCGTGAATTATTTTAATAGTGGTGGTTTACCCTTTCTTAAGATAAGATAAGATAAGATTTCGTTCGGATTTTTAACCCCGGAGGGTTAGCCACCCAGGATAACCCAAGAAAGTCAGTGCGTCATCGAGGACTGTCTAACTTATTTCCATTGGGGTCCTTAATCTTGTCCCCCAGGATGCGACCCACACCAGTCGACTAACACCCAGGTACCTATTTACTGCTAGGTGAACAGGACAATAGGTGTAAGAAAACGTGTCGGAATTTCCACCCGCCGGGAATCGAACCCGGGCCCTCCGTGTGTGAAGCGGGAGTTTTAGCCACCAGGCCACCGGGCCACTCCCTCCCAATCCAGTTCTACCAAAACTGCCCTATGATCCGAAAACCCTACGTCCACTGTTTTTACCCCTCCTACCCTAACTGCCTCCGTTATATAAATCCTATCTAACCTCGCTGCTGTATGGCATCTTTCTTGACAGCTTGCTTATTCACCCCCCCTATCCCTTCATTATCCCTAGAACCATTGAACCCTACATTACCCCTTCCCTCTTTCCCCTTATGACATACATCCTTTCTCCAAGATTTTACTCCTGTTCTTTGTCCTGGAGTAAGAACATCGTCCATCTCAGACGTTCCTGCAGTTCTCTTACGAGAACTCCCCTCCCCACACACCTCGTCACCTTCTTTTCCGCCCTATGGACCTCTGCCACAACGTTGTGCACATTAACATTAGTGCACACAGTATCAAACCTCCTGATCTTGCTGCACACCGTTGCCTGCACCAGTTACACCCTTCATCCACCTGTCCCTCTTCAACGTCATGCAAAAAGGAACTAAGTACTTCCTCCAGCAAGCCATCCTGTTGGCCCGTACCCTCCTCCTCAGACGTCGATGTCGTCTGTCCCTTATCAACTGTTTGTGTTACACTTTCCTCCATGGCCGCCTCAGCCCTATCCACTTCGTCACTCTCCATCGGCAAGGAATCTTGTTGGCCTTACTCCTTCCTCCGACACCTCCAGAGCATTCCTCTGTTGTAAGATCATTGGTACCTGTTCCCTCCGTCCAGCTTTTTTATAGCATTGGGCCGCCATATGTTCAAAAGAACCACATAATCTGCAAGTCTTCCGCTGCCCTGAGTAGTACACGTAGACCTGCGTTCGGAAGACCTCCATAAATACGTATGATGGAATTGGCTGCCTCGACGTCATTTTCAGCGTAAATGATCCTTCAGGTAGCCCCTCATAAGGTCCATTTTGCCACACCCCCATCACTGCTGAGTGGATTTTCCCATAGCTGCTAAACACCGCCGTCACATCATGCTCCGTCGCCTCAAAAGGCACGTTTCGTACTTTCACCCACGTCACATAGCTGGACACATCATGTAAGCAGACTTCCACCATAGTGTTCACTGCCAGCCTCTTCTCTTGATATTTGTTAACTATGCTTGTGTAGAATCCTGCGTCTTTAAACTTGATGAAAATTCTCGACACACCATTTACTGCTACTCCATATAATTCTTCGGTCGGTATTCCATATACCTCACTGATGATGGCATGCAGTAACACGTTGCATGGTTGTTCCTGTAAGCGTGCCACGCACCAATTCCACACAAACAGTGCTCACCCGGCGTCCAATGCGATCTGCCATGTTTGTATGCACAAAACAGGAAAACTGCGCAGTAAACCAGTTGTATCAGGAGCTACTGCGCAGCCTGTCCGCACGGCACAATAGCGATGCGAACAAGAATGAACATGGACAAAACTAATTCATAAACGAATCTACTCCTACCTCATCTCCCATAACATTCTCAACCCCTGCCAATTTGGATTCAGGCCTAATAAAAATACTAATGATGCTATTATACACATGCTAGAACATATATACACTGCAATAGAGAAAAAAGAAGTCCCACTGGGATCTTCATTGACTTACGTAAAGCTTTTGATACAGTTGACCATGACTTGCTCCACGTAAAATTGTCACACTATGGTATTAGAGGGCACTCCCTCACTACCTCAAGTCTTACCTCAGCAACAGAAGCCAATATGTGTACGCAAATGGGGCAAGCTCTTCCGCACAAACCAATTACAGTTGGTGTCCCACAGAGAAGTGTCCTTGGCCCTCTTCTCTTTCTCCTATACATAAATGACCTACCAAATGCTTCGCAATTAACTCAAACCCACACTTTTTGCAGATGACACCACATACGTCTTCTCTCACCCGAGCCCAGTCACGCTAGTCAATACTGTAAACACCGAATTACAGAAAATATCTACCTGGATGAGGACTAACAAACTTACATTAAACATTGACAAAACCTACTTCATTCAGTTTGGTAGCAGAGCTACAGATGTACCTCTTAACATAACGATAAACGGATCACCTATCACAAAGCTAACAGAGGGAAAATTCTTAAGAATCCACCTCGATAATAGACTCAAATTTCATACACATATACAACAAATTTCTAAGAAAATTTCCAAGACTGTAGGCATACTATCGAAGATACGGTACTATGTTCCACAGTCAGCCCTCCTGGCCCTTTATCACTCTCTTATTTACCCATATCTCACCTATGGAATTTGTGCATGGGGCTCAACAACAACTAACCATCTCAGACCACTAATTACCCAACAAAAGGCTGCAGTTAGAATGATAACAAATTCTCACTACAGGCAGCACACTCCACCAATATTCAAAACACTCAACCTACTCACCATACAAAACATCCATACTTATTATTGCACTTATTACATACATAGAACACTTAACTCTGATATTAACCCTCCCCTCAAACATCTCCTTGCCAACCTCAACAGAACACATGACCATAATACAAGGCACAGATCACTCTTTGATGTTCCTCGTGTCCATCTCACGCTATGCAAAAACTCAATGCACATAAAAGACCCTAAAATCTGGAATTCATTACCTGTAAATATAAAAGAAACACTACCTGTTTATAAATTCAAGTCTCTTCTCAAAGTTCACTTACTCACTCAAAACCAAATAAATACTGAATAACTGAACCATATAAATTGTATATCCTAAATGTTACTCACAATTATATCACACAAATGTTAAACCTAACTTTGTTATTTTTTTTTTCAAATACACTACCTGAATGAACAGCAATGCATGCAACCATATGACCTGTCTTTGTAATACTCATTTGTATTTTATAGTTATCTGTTTACAATAATGTCTTATCACTGATTTCATCATTGCTTAGTTAATCTTAAGTTAATTTTAAGCCAGCCTGTAATGCTATGCATAGTATAAGTGGCTTTGGCATGCTGCTCTTATCTGTATTTTTTGTACCTCTGTATGTATGCTAAAATTTATAAATAAAAATAAAAAAAATAAAAATAAAAAAAATTATATTTTTACGGATCACCCTACATTAGTGGAAGACGTCCTGTGTGGAAAACAAACCTAAAAAAAATATTTTATATAATCCATCCAGCTTAGAGCTTTTTTTATTGTTGTTAAAATAGAAGTAATAATAATAGTATTGTTATATACAGGAAGGCTGTGATTAGAGGCGGGGTCTCTGTCCAGGCTGGAGCTGCCGTCTGTAGCAGTGATGGTCACCCTAGCCTGGGCTGCTCGACTTGCTATACCTTGTGGCTTCAATGTAAGTGCCTTCTAACCTCTTTAAAAATATTCTCAGAGTTATAACTAACACGTACAGTGCCAGGTAGCTGTCTTGTATGAATTAAAATGTCGAGTGAATAAGTTAATAGGTTGAATTACGGCATCGGGGGTGTATTTCTAGGGTTTCTCTTTTCTTAGGGTAGCATTATTTATAATTGCTAGCGGCTTCCCTGGCCGTACATACTGCATGAACGTTTATTAGATATTTTGTGCCATCCAGTAGAAATATAAAACAAACTGCAAGATTGAGACACCTAGCAAATAAGAGAGTGGGCATTTATTAAAGAGATATTTCGCCCGCTGGGAGCTTTTATCAGTTTTATGCTTGTCACTGTTTATGAAACTTTTACAACTGCCCCAGTAATTGTAATTTTAATATTCTCTTTTAACTTTAGTTATATGCCCGGCAGCCGGGGTAACTTAATTTGTTGAGAGTCATTTACATGACAGTCAGGAAGCCATAAGTTCATAGATAAGGTTTGTACAACCCATGCAGGCATGTTTTTTTTAACTATAAATTAGCAAATTGATGATAATGCACTACGTGTATTAATGTCTGGGCATCCAGCTGCCGGTCAGTAACTTTGGCCTATCTATTTATCTGTTTATCTTTGTATGATATTCTATGTAATTGTGTATACCTGAATAAACTTACTTATCTAGCTGTCTATATATCAATCTATGACCCTTTAAGGTGGGGGTTGCCTTGATGTTAGCCAAGGAATCTGAGATACCCTCCCCTTCCTCAGATCAAATTTGAGTTGCTCAAAGTATTCTTAAAATCTCTAAACTTCCTTTCTTCAAACCTGATTGTCCCCCCATTTCCCAGATGCTGTATAACCCATATGAGTTTAGAGCTTTCCATGAATATAATACTGTAACTATATCTACATATCTAAACAATATGGCATCTAGGTGGCCTGGTGGCTAAAGCTCCCGCTTCACACACGGAGGGCCCGGGTTCGATTCCCGGCGGGTGGAAACATTTCGACACGTTTCCTTACCTCTGTTGTCCTGTTCACCTAGCAGCAAATAGGTACCTGGGTGTTAGTCGACTGGTGTGGGTCGCATCCTGGGGGACAAGATTACGGAACCCAATGGAAATAAGTTACAGTCCTCGATGACGCACTGACATTCTTGGGTTATCCTGGGTGGCTAACCCTCCAGGGTTAAAAGTCCGAACGAAATCTTATCTTATCTTATCTAGTGAAATCACCAACATCTAGGTGTAAGTTTCTGTGTTTTGTTGAAATATAATTAACCTTAAAGTATCCAAACATAGATCAGCATTCATGTGCATACTGCTCTGAACATTTTGGGAAAGAAAAAAACTTGTTTAAAATGAAGAAGTGCGCATTTTTCCCAGCATCCCCGAATTTTGTCATACTGCACACACTGAGTACACAGACTCATTATCTCATGTCTAGGCAACTCAGGCTTACCGTGCCAAGATTGAAAGCATGTAAAATAAAACGTAGATCTACGATCAGAGTGCTATGCACACGAATGTAGCTCTACGTTTGGACAGTTTAAGGGTTAAAAGTTATCCACCAACATAATTTAGATTTATTTTTGGTTAGGTTTTGTTACCTTAGTGCTTGCAGATATTTTTGCTAAATTTGTGTATGGAAGACTTCTTTGCCAGTAGAAATGTAGCCGACCTCTGACTGATCTGCGATTTCATAACGTCAGTGGGAATACTGACATTTATTGTAGTAATGTTGGTAGACTTACTGACAAGATGTTAGGTAAAAAGATAAGTGCAACTACTGTGACATTTCATTGTGGCAATGTTTTGCTCTCCAGGAGCTTTGTCAAGCTAACAAAGCTTAACAAAGTTCCTGGAGAGTGAAATGTTGCCACAGTAAAATGTCACATTAGTTGCACTTGTCATTTTTACCTAACATGTTATTTAATCATTTGAGAACTTACTGTTATGTCTTATGTTTTAATAAAATGTCTTTTGTATACGAGTGCAGTATTTAATTCATTCCAAATGGCCATTTGAGTGCTGTTCCAATTTTCTGTTTGGTTGGCTGTTATCACTAATCTTCGTAGCCCCCATGGTGACTTATTTATACAAATAATACAAAAAGCACACCAAAAAATGCAAAGAAAACAAAATAGCTTACAGCAAAGTTCTGGCAGGTCATATTTGTTTGGTAAAGTGCTGAGATTTTTTCCAGTAGGGAGCTGGTCGTATACTGAGGTTCCACTGTGTTTTTAATATAAATTATTTATAAATACTGAAACAGCTTTGTGTATGGCTTAATTAATTTATATCTGTATATGATTTTCCACAAATTTGTGTACTATACTGTACTATATGGGAATAAAGTTGCCCTTGTCATTGTTGTGTAGGTCTATAGCAGTTTATCATAATCATTGTACTGTGTAAATGTGTAATATATGTATAGTCTATTAATCTACCATATGTAAAGAAACATGAATAAAACTTATCTTAATATAAATAATTTACTATTTTTCCCTAGTATGTAGGAGAGATACAGGTACACCACTGATTTTCCAGCACCCCTGGTTCCAAAGCTTTGCCAGATTAACTGTTTTGCCGAGCCAACAGTGGTGACTTTCATCTAGTTCTAGACATTCTAACCCACTAATTATGCACTTTTTGTATGTCTATAAAGCACCATGGACTGATAAAACCTTAAATTAAAGAAATATTAAATGTAAATTAAATAAACAAGATTTTAGCAATAAAATTTATTTCTCAATTCGGAAGTTGAGTGCTGTCATGATTACTGTCTGTTTTCTAGTTGATCATTTCATCTTGGATTTCTGATACTGCAGGAGTGATATCCAGGGTACTTGAAGTTGAAGCTACAGGACATTCTTTTTGGCAGTCTTTTTAAATACTTCATCTAAGCGAAGTTGCTTCATTTGTTTTGACACTTTCCAGTGTAATTTTTCTTGCAACAAATGTGTTTACATTTGACACCACCATTGACACTTGCAGCTCTCTTACAAGCCATAGATAGGGTTAAATTTGAGCAAAATAAGCTAATATCTCACAAATTGAGGTATCACTACCAGCAAATGCAGCAAAGACAATTCATGTGAACATGGCTGCACTCAACGCCCAGTAAACTGGTCTGGCGGGCTTGGGAGTTTCAAGTTCCTGCTCATAATTTTGTTTGGACTAAGGGAGGTGTCAGACCATCCATTGCCAGAAAATCAGTGGTGTACCTGTACCTTGTTTGCAGTGCTTTTTAGCCATGACTGGCAGTGATAGAGCAGTTTTGCTTCCACTGATATATTATAGCAGTGTTAGAACAGTTATCACAAAGTGTATTGATGATCTTTCTATAAATTGTAAAATATAGTGCCATCACACTGCTCATTTTTAAATCTTGTTCACCTAGCAGTAAATACATGGGCGTTAATTGAGTGTTGTAGGTCGCATCCTGGGGAGTGGTAGTATACCTTAGATAGGATTGAGCTTTGAAATTAGCCTGTAAAATTGATCTGTATAAAAAAATAAAAAAGATAAAAGATAAAAAATTTTTTTACAGAGCTTGTACATATCCAGATCCTGGTATATTGGTACTGTATACCCTGTCAGAGAAAGCCTGTGGCTTTTTCAGGCCTCCTTTGTTGAGGGTGAGGTTGTATCCATGCAGTGATCCTTCTAATCACTGGCCAGATCCTAGTGATATTTAACCTCAGCAGTGTGTGCATTAGGCTTTCACATAAATCAACTAGCCTACATGTGGTTGTTCCAAGTAATTTTCAGCAAGATACTGGAAAAGCACGGAAACTGAATGCCATCCACATTGACATGTTAATTATTGGCTGTAATATCATTGTCACAAGAACAGAAGGCCCATGCGAGGCATTCTCTTATTTTTTTCACCTATGATTGTCTAACTCATTTTATACCTTTATAAACATTTGCTTCAGTGTGGGGTTTATTTTGCTCATCGGAGTACAAAACAAATTCAAAGCACACAATCGAGCAAAAAACTAAATGTGAAGGACCTGGGGGTGATACTGTCAGAGAATGTCACTTTCAAAGATGACAACATCACTGTTTCTATTCATCTGCTAGGAAAATGATAGGATGGATAATAAGAATCTTCAAAACTAGGGATGTCAAGCCAGTGATGATTTTCTTGAAATTGCTTGTTCTTTCTAGGCTGGAATATTGCTGTACACTAACAGCCCCTTTCAAGGCAGCTAGAATTGTAGACCTGGAGAATATACAGAGAACTTTCACTGCATGTATAAGTACAATAAAACACCTAAATTACTGGGAACAGTTGAAGTTCCTTGACCTGTGCTCCTTGGGATGTAAGCAAGAAAGATACATGATAATGTACACTTGGAAAATCTTAGAGGGACTAGTACCAAATCTGCACATGGAAATCACCCCCTATGAAAGCAAAAGACTTGGCAGGTGGTGCAACATCCCCCCAGTGAAAAGCAAGGGTGCCATGAGTATAAAAGAGAGAACACAGTAAGTGCCAGGGGTCCAAGACTGTTCAACTGCCTCCCAACAAACTTAAGGGGGATTACCAATAAACCCCTGGCTGTCTTCAAGCAGGAGCTGGACAGGCACCTGAAGTCAGTACCTGGCTAGCCAGGCTGTGGCTCATACATCAGTTTGCATGCAGCCACCAGTAACAGCCTCGTTGATCAGGCCCTGATTCCACCAAGAGGCCTGGTCATGAACCGGGCCATGGGGGCGTTGACCCCCGGAACACCAGTGCTTACCATACCTATGAATTTTATAAATTTTAAAGTTGTTCAGTTTGAATCCCTTGTTAGATTTATTTGCCTTTACATTGTCAGCATTCTTTCTTAAATATACCTTGTATCATTTGTACCCTATATGTACTTAGTTATGTCCCTCAAGAATATAACTACAGTGCTCTTACTATGTCTTAACTCCTCAGAGCACACTAACCCACAACCTGTTTTGTAATCAACCTATATTACATGCAATTCCTGTTTTTTATTTATTTTATTATCACACTGGCCGATTCCCACCAAGGCAGGGTGGCCCGAAAAAGAAAAACTTTCACCATCATTCACTCCATCACTGTCTTGCCAGAAGGGTGCTTTACACTACAGTTTTTAAACTGCAACATTAACACCCCTCCTTCAGAGTGCAGGCACTGTACTTCCCATCTCCAGGACTCAAGTCCGGCCTGCCGGTTTCCCTGAACCCCTTCATAAATGTTTATAATTATCTATTTATAATTAGATTGGTTTATGCTTGTGGTATCCTGATTTATTACCTTACTTTAGTGGGAGGATCCATGAATACATTGGCAGATGGATGGCAACTGTGTATTGTACTTTTAGCAAGTATAATACACTTTTTGATCTTTTCATTACAACAGATGTCTGTGTTGATGTATAAATTAAAATATGGAATTTGTTTACTGATACAAAAAAATTCCCTTTCAGATGAGATTTGTTATTCTACTACTACTAACTGGAATTATTGGTGTTCGTGCTCGGGCGCAAGAATATGAAGATAATGACTTTGCTGAATTTGAAGTATTCGAAGAGGAGGATGAAATAGCAGGTGAAGAAGGAAATGAAGGAAATGAAGAAGGGCTGTCTCGTGGTGGAGGGAGGCAAGATGGTAGTGAAGCATCTAGTGGATTGCGAGTGGATGTGGAAGATGATGATGATGAAGAGGAGGCAGTTGTAGAGGTAGCACTAACACTTAAACAGTTACTGCCTATTGATACTGGTTAAAAATATTTACAATAAGAGAAAGTTTAACATAAAAAGGCACAGAAATACAATTGAGTTAAGGTATTCTTTTGTCAGTAAGTTTAACTTTTTATCTTGCTGGGTAGTCTTTTCATAAGGATTCAGCCAGCAACAGTGAGCACTAATGTATTTTTTAATATTTTTTATGGAAGTTTATTGAATTATTTGTCTTTTTGTGCTTTAGTGAGATGAATGGTGAGAACTTGTTTTGTAATAAGCATAATACAAAAGTTTCAAATGAGAGAAAAAGCTAAAAGGAAGGAACAGTATGTTTACAACCTAGAAATGTTTTAGTGTGCACCTTTTAAGGAGGATTTCTTGAGCTTGGTGAAAGGTTCTTGATTCAAAGAATTAAGCTATCCTTTTTCTAGTGTCACCCATTTAACTCCTCCACCCCTCAGGCACTGTATAACCATTAAGGCTATAGCTACTACCCATAGTTTTTTTTTTTTTGTTTTTTTTTTTTTTTTTTAAGTGGGATGTCTCCCATCAAGATAGGGGGACCTGAGAAAGAAGAAAATACTTTCACTGTAATTCATTCAATTACTGTCTTGCCAGAAGATCACTGACATCACAGCTCAGATGACCCTCCAAACTGTAACATTCCCATCCCTTCAGTGTGTAGACATTATACTTTCCACCTACAGGACTCAAATTAGGTTAACTAATTTCCCCTGAATCCTTTCGTAAATGTTATTCTATTCTCTCCAACAGCACATCAGATCATAAAAACTGCTTGCCTCCACTCCAGTCTAACACACTTGTACAAGCCTGTTGGATGTACAACAGGCTAGTATGATATTGTATAAATAGGCTTTATTAAATAATAATGTATAAATTGACTTTGAAATTTATCAATATCTTGTCAGTTTCATAATGAATATAGAAATTTGTTATTGTTATCTTTCTTTATTCTTGGTTGCTCTTATTTACCCATGTGGCATTCAGCCTGAATTCCATTTATATATTAACTGACCACTTCCACTAAAGATTTCTAAGCTATATCAGTGCTGTTGGGTAAGCTTCAATATAATTTTCATTGTGATCAGAGCAATGACTTTTATATCAAAATTTTTTCAAACGTGTGTATGTATTTTTGTAGCTAATGTAAATTTTGTATTGAAATTAACATTTTTTCCTGTACCCTAATCCCAGATATAACTATTGACATATATTTGTCATTGTGAATAATAGCAAATGAGGAAAAATAAATCTTGCATTGAGAAATTAAAACTGCTTGGCAGCAAAATTAATAGGTTAAATAGATAAGAAATGGGAAAGCAATATGTATTAGGCAAGGAATATAGAGGTGGGGAAAAATTTGACATCAGTTGGTGTGACAATGCTAGTGTAAAAAAAGGAAAATATAATGCTGTGATTATAAAGTTATTGTACCTATTTTGCTTGCAATCCCAGCAGAATTCTTATTGCTTCTTCATTCTGTAGGATGAAGATGAGAATGATGAATTTAGCCATTTTCACGATGAGGAGGAATTTATTGGCTTTGATAGTGAGAGACCACAGGGAACTCGTGTGCCTAAGTCACAAGAGGAGCCAAAGATTACTATTGCTAATGTAAGTAAAGTACCCAGCTATTATTTATATTTTTATTTTTATTATCACACTGGCCGACTCCCACCAAGGAAAGGTGGCCCGAAAAAGAAAAACTTTCACCATCATTCTTTCCATCACTGTCTTGTCAGAAGGGTGCTTTACACTACAGTTTTTAAACTGCAACATTAACACCCCTCCTTCAGAGTGCAGGCACTGTACTTCCCATCTCCAGGACTCAAGTCCGGCCTGCCGGTTTCCCTGAATCCCTTCATAAATGTTACTTTGCTCACACTCCAACAGCACGTCAAGTATTAAAAACCATTTGTCTCCATTCACTCCTATCAAACACGCTCACGCATGCCTGCTGGAAGTCCAAGCCCCTCGCACACAAAACCTCCTTTACCCCCTCCTCCAACCCTTCCTAGGCCGACCCCTACCCCGCCTTCCTTCCACTACAGACTGATACACTCTTGAAGTTATTCTGTTCGCTCCATTCTCTCTACATGTCCGAACCACCTCAACAACCCTCTCAGCCCTCTGGACAACAGTTTTGGTAATCCCGCACCTCCTCCTAACTTCCAAACTACGAATTCTCTGCATTATATTCACACCACACATTGCCCTCAGACATGACATCTCCACTGCCTCCAGCCTTCTCGCTGCAACATTCATCACCCATGCTTCACACCCATATAAGAGCGTTGGTTAAAACTATATACTCTCATACATTCCCCTCTTTGCCTCCAAGGACAAAGTTCTCTGTCTCCACAGACTCCTAAGTGCACCACTCACTCTTTTTCCTCATCAATTCTATGATTCACCTCATCTTTCATAGACCCATCCGCTGACACGTCCACTCCCAAATATCTGAATACGTTCACCTCCTCCATACTCTCTCCCTCCAATCTGATATTCAATCTTTCATCACCTAATCTTTTTGTTATCCTCATAACCTTACTCTTTCCTGTATTCACCTTTAATTTTCTTCTTTATGCACACCCTACCAAATTCATCCACCAATCTCTGCAGCTTCTCTTCAGAATCTCCCAAGAGCACAGTGTCATCAGCAAAGAGCAGCTGTGACAACTCCCACCCTGTGTGTGATTCTTTATCTTTTAACTCCAACGCCTCTTGCCAAGACCCTCGCATTTACTTCTCTTACAACCCCATCTATAAATATATTAAACAACCACGGTGACATCACACATCCTTGTCTAAGGCCTACTTTACTGGGAAAAAATTTCCCTCTTTTCTACATACTCTAACTTGAGCCTCACTATCCTCGTTAAAAACTCTTCACTGCTTTCAGTAACCTACCTCCTACACCATACACTTGCAACATCTGCCACATTGCCCCCCTATCCACCCTGTCATACGCCTTTTCCAAATCCATAAATGCCACAAAGACCTCTTTAGCCTTATCTAAATACTGTTCACTTATATGTTTCACTGTAAACACCTGGTCCACACACCCCCTACCTTTCCTAAAGCCTCCTTGTTCATCTGCTATCCTATTCTCCGTCTTACTCTTAATTCTTTCAATTATAACTCTACCATACACTTTACCAGGTACACTCAACAGACTTATCCCCCTATAATTTTTGCACTCTCTTTTATCCCCTTTGCCTTTAATACAAAGGAACTATGCATGCTCTCTGCCAATCCCTAGGTACCTTACCCTCTTCCATACATTTATTAAATAATTGCACCAACCACTCCAAAAACTATATCCCCACCATGCTTTTAAACATTTCTATCTTTATCCCATCAATCCCGGCTGCCTTACCCCCTTTCATTTTACCTACTGCCTCACGAACTTCCCCCACACTCACAACTGGCTCTTCCTCACTCCTACAAGATGTTATTCCTCCTTGCCCTATACACGAAATCACAGCTTCCCTATCTTCATCAACATTTAACAATTCCTCAAAATATTCCCTCCATCTTCCCAATACCTCTAAACTCTCCATTTAATAACTCTCCTCTCCTATTTTTAACTGACAAATCCATTTGTTCTCTAGGCTTCCTTAACTATTAATACCACTCCAAAACTTTTTTCTTATTTTCAACAAAATTGTTGATAAACAGCTCACCCACTCTCTCATTTGCTCTCTTTTACATTGCTTCACACTCTCTTAACCTCTCTCTTTTTTCTCCATATATATATAATATATATATATATATATATATATATAATATATATATATATATTTATATATATATATATATATATATATATATATATATTATAATATTATAATATATATATATATAATATATATATATAATATATATATTATATATATATAATATATATTAATATTGCATTTATGGATTTAGAAAAGGCATATGATAGAGTGGATAGAGGAGCAATGTGGCAGATGTTGCAAGTATATGGAATAGGTGGTAAGTTATTAAATGCTGTAAAGAGTTTTTATGAGGATAGTGAGGCTCAGGTTAGGGTGTGTAGAAGAGAGGGAGACTACTTCCCGGTAAAAGTAGGTCTTAGACAGGGATGTGTAATGTCACCATGGTTGTTTAATATATATTTATAGATGGGGTTGTACAGGAAGTAAATGCTAGGGTGTTCAGGAGAGGGGTGGGATTAAATTTTGGGGAATCAAATTCAAAATGGGAATTGACAGTTACTTTTTGCTGATGATACTGTGCTTATGGGAGATTCTAAAGAAAAATTGCAAAGGTTAGTGGATGAGTTTGGAAATGTGTGTAAAGGTAGAAAGTTGAAAGTGAACATAGAAAAGAGTAAGGTGATGAGGGTGTCAAATGATTTAGATAAAGAAAAATTGGATATCAAATTGGGGAGGAGGAGTATGGAAGAAGTGAATGTTTTCAGATACTTGGGAGTTGACGTGTCGGCGGATGGATTTGTGAAGGATGAGGTTAATCATAGAATTGATGAGGGAAAAAAGGTGAGTGGTGCGTTGAGGTATATGTGGAGTCAAAAAACGTTATCTATGGAGGCAAAGAAGGGAATGTATGAAAGTATAGTAGTACCAACACTCTTATATGGGTGTGAAGCTTGGGTGGTAAATGCAGCAGCGAGGAGACGGTTGGAGGCAGTGGAGATGTCCTGTTTAAGGGCAATGTGTGGTGTAAATATTATGCAGAAAATTCGGAGTGTGGAAATTAGGAGAAGGTGTGGAGTTAATAAAAGTATTAGTCAGAGGGCAGAAGAGGGGTTGTTGAGGTGGTTTGGTCATTTAGAGAGAATGGATCAAAGTAGAATGACATGGAAAGCATATAAATCTATAGGGAAAGGAAGGTGGGTAGGGGTCGTCCTCGAAAGGGTTGGAGAGAGGGGGTAAAGGAGGTTTTGTGGGCAAGGGGCTTGGACTTCCAGCAAGCGTGCGTGAGCGTGTTAGATAGGAGTGAATGGAGACGAATGGTACTTGGGACCTGACGATCTGTTGGAGTGTGAGCAGGGTAATATTTAGTGAAGGGATTCAGGGAAACCGGTTATTTTCATATAGTCGGACTTGAGTCCTGGAAATGGGAAGTACAATGCCTGCACTTTAAAGGAGGGGTTTTGGGATATTGGCAGTTTGGAGGGATATGTTGTGTATCTTTATATGTGTATGCTTCTAGACTGTTGTATTCTGAGCACCTCTGCAAAAACAGTGATAATGTGCGAGTGTGGTGAAAGTGTTGAATGATGATGAAAGTATTTTCTTTCTTTTTTTTTTGGGTCACCCTGCCTCGGTGGGAAACGGCCGACTTGTTGAAAAAAAAAAAATATATATATATATATATACAGGAGGGCCCCACTTATACGGCGGGTTAGGTTCCAGGCTACCGCCGTAAAGCGGAAACCGCCGTAAAGTGGAACACCCTTTTTTTTCCACTTACAAATGCATACAAACACTAGATAACAAGTTTACACTAACATATATTATGTTAGCAATAGAACCAGGCATCAAAAAACAATAAAAAAGCACAATACACACACAGTGCACTCATTACTTACCTTAAAATATTTATAGTCTTAATCTAGGGTGAGACAAGTAGTATTTATTGTAAGAAATCAAGTGTGGTATGTATGGTGTCAGCCAGGCTACCATACCAGGCCACCCCACCCACACATACTATTCTATGATACTTAAGCATCCCAGAGCGATAAAATGTATATACAGTTCACTCATTACTTACCTTAAAATATAGGGTGAGATGAGTAGTATTTATTGTAAAAAATCAAGTGTGGTATGTATGGTAGTCAGCCAGGCTACCATACCAGGCCAACCCACCCACACATACTATTCTATGATATTTAAGCATCCCAGAGCGATAAAATGTATATACAGTTCACTCATTACTTACCTTAAAATATAGGGTGAGATGAGTAGTATTTACAGTGGACCCCCGGTTAACGATTTTAATCCGTGCAAGAGGGATAATTGTTATGCGAAATAATCGTTATGCGAATGAATTTTCCCCATAAGAAATAATGGAAATAAAATTAATCCGTGCAAGACGCCCAAAAGTATGAAAAAAATTTTTTTTTACCACATGAAATGTTAATTTTAATACACACAAACTGAAAAAGGCATGCACAATTACATGACACTTACTTTTATTGAAGATCTGGTGATGATTGATGGGATGGGAGGAGGGGAGAGCATTATCTTCTTACTGTTTAGAAGGGGAATCCCCTTCCATTACGACTTGAGGTAGCAAGTCCTTTTCCGGGGTTACTTCCCTTCTTCTTTTAATGCCACTAGGACCAGCTTGAGAGTCACTGGACCTCTGTCGCACAACAAATCTGTCCATAGAGCTCTGTACCTCCCGTTCCTTTACGATTTGTCTAAAATGGGCCACAACATTGTCATTGAAATAGTCACCAGCACGGCTTGCAACAGCTGTGTCAGGGTGATTTTCATCTATAAAGGTTTGCAGTTCAACCCACTGTGCACACATTTCCTTAATCTTTGAAGTAGGCACAATGGATTCCACAACTGGCATAGGCTTCTCAGGGTTAGCCCCAAACCCTTCAAAATCTTTCTTAA